AATATTGAATATACCATGGACTGCCAGAAGAAAGAACAAATCCGTCTTGGAAGAAGGGCAACCAGAATGCTCCTTAGAAGCAGCGATGGCAAGACTTTGTCTCAGTACTTTGGACATGTTATCAGGTGGGACCAGTCCCTGGAGAAGGACGTCATGCTTGGTAAAGTAGAGGGTCTGTGAAAAAGAGGAGGATCCTTAACAAGATGGATTGATGTAGTGGCTGGAACAGCAGGCTTAAGCATAACAATTGTGACGATAGCACAGAACCAAGCAGTGTTTTTTCTGTTGTGCATAGGTTTGCTATGAGTCAGAATCGACTCGACGGCACCTAACAATGACAATAAATTCTCTGTACTTGGTCATATGGTAATTCTATATTTAAGTTGATGAGGAACCGCCATACTTTTCCATAGCAGCTGTACCATTTTACAATCTCAGCAACAATAGATGAGTGTTCTAATTTCTCCACATCCTCACTAATCCCTGTTGTTTTTTGTTTTTCTGAGCATAGTAATTCTATTGGGTGTGAGGTGGTATCTCACTGTGGTTTTGATTTGCATTTCCCTAATGAATTATGATGTTGAGCATTTTTTCATTGCTTATTGGTCATCTGTATATATTCCTTGGTGAAATTCCCATTCAAGTCCTTTGCCTATTTTTGGATGAGATTGTCTTTTTGATATTGAGTTGTGGGAGTTCTTTATATATTCTGAGTATTAAACTCTAATCACATACATGGTTCCCAAATATTTTCTCCTATTTTATGAATTGTCTCTTCACTTTCTTGACAAAGTCGTTTTGTCCACCAATGTTTTTAATTTTTGTGAAGTCCAGTTTATCTATTTTGTCTTTTGTTGCTTGTGCTTTTAGTGTCAAGAATCCATTGTCAAAAACAAGTTCTTAAAGCATTGCCTTATGTTTTGTTTTAAGAGTTTTATGATTTTAGTTATTATATTTAAATCATTGATCAATTTTGAGGTAATTTTCATATGTGGTATGAGGTATTGGTTCAGCTTCATTCTTTTAGATGTGGAAATCCAGTTGTCCCAGCACATTTTATTGAAGAGACTATTCTTTCCCCATTGAATGAACTTAGCACCCTTGTTGAAAGTAATTGACTGTAAGTGTATGGATTTATTTGTAGACTCTCTGTTCTGTTCCATTGGTCTGTATGTCTGTCATTATATCAGTACCAAACTGTTTTGATTACTGTAGCTTTGTAGTACATTTTGAAATTGGGAAGTGTGAGTCCTCTTACTTTGTTCTTCTTTTTCAAGATCGCTTTGGCTATTTGGGGCCCCTTGTGATTCCATATGAGTTTGAGGATGGCTTTTTCATTTATGCAAAGAAAGCTGTTAGGATTGAGATAGGTATTGCATTGACTCTACAGATTGCTTTGGTAGTATTGACATCTTAACAGTATTGAGTCTTCCAATCCATGAATGTGGAATGTCCTTTCTTTTATTTAGATTTCTTTAATTTCTTTCTGGAGTGTTTAGTAGTTTTCAGTGTACAAGTCTTTCACCTCCCAGGTTAAATTTATTCCTTGGAATTTAATCTTTTTAGATGCAATTGTAAATTATTTTCTTAATTTCCTTCTCAGATCGCTTATTGCTGATTGTCTTAGTCATCTAGTGTTGCTATAACATAAGTATGGCTTTAACAAAGAGAAATTTATTTTCTCACAATATAATAGGCTCTGAGTCCAAATTCACAGCATCAGCTCCAGGGGAAGGCTTTCTCTGTTGTCGCTGGAGGAGGGTCCACGTCATCAATCTTCCCTTGGTCTACGAGCTTCTTTGAGCAGAAACCTCAGGTCCAAAGGACACGCTCTGCTTTCTTGGTAGTATGAGCTGCTCATGTTTCTCTGCTTGCTTCTCTGTTTTATATCTCAAAAGAGATTGGCTTAAGACACTATCTAATCTTGCAGACCTCATCAGTATAACTGCCACTAATCCATCGTATTACATCATAGTGATAGCATTTATGACACAGAGGGAAATCGCATCAGATAATAAAATGGTAGACAGTCATACAATACTGGGAATCATGACCTAGCCAAATTGACAGATATTTTTGGGGGACACAATTCAATCCATGATACTGATGTAGAGAAAAACAACTGATTTGTGAGTTTGACCTTATACACTGCTACTTTGCTGATCTTATTAATTCTAGTAGCTCTCTTGTGGATTCTTCAGGATTTTCTAAATAAATGATTGTGGAGTCTGTGAAGAGAGATAGTTTTACTATTTCCTTCCTGGTTTGGATATCTTTTATTTAATTTTCTTGACTAATTGCCCTGGCTAGGAGTTCTAGTGTAATATTGAATAGCAGAGTGAGACTGGGCATCCTTGGCTTGTTCCTGATCTTAAGGGGAAAACTCTCAGTCTTTCTCCATTGAGTATGGTGTTAGCAGTGTGTGTTTCATAAATACGTTTTATCATGTTAAGGGAGTTCTCTTCTATTCCTAGTTTTCTAGTGTTTTTATTGTGTTAGAGTTTCTCAGATGCCCTTTCTGTATCAATTAAGATGATCACAAGGTACTTAACCTTTTTTTCTGTTAATTGGTATTACATTATTTGATATTCTAAAGTCGAACCACTCTTGCATTCCTGAGATAAATCCCACTTGTTCATGGTGTATAATCCCTTTTAATGTGGTATTGTATTCTGTTTCCTAGTATTTTGTTAAAGATTTTTGCATCTATATTAATAAAAGATATTAGTCTGTAGTTTTATTTTCTTGTGGTATCTTTATTGGCTTTGATATCAGACTAATGTTAGCCTCATTGAATTATTTAGGAAGTGTTACATCACCTTCTTTTTTTTTTGGAAGAGTTTAAGATTTGTGTCAATTCTACTATAAATGTTTGGTGGAAATCCCCAGTGAAGCCATCTGGTTCAGGCCTTTTTTTTTTTTTCTTTGTTGGGAGGTGTTTGATTACTGATTTAATGTTTCAATTTGTGGAGTTTTTTTAAATTCTTGAGTCAATTTAGGTAGTTTATGTGTTTCTACGAATTTGTTCATTTTTTCAAAAATATCTAATTTTTTGGCATACAGTTGTTCATAGTATTCTCGTCTTTTTTATTTCAGGATAAAAATAAATACAGTTGGTTGTAATGGCCCTACTTTCATTTCTGATTTTAGATATTTGCATCTTTGCTCTCTTTATCAGTCTAGCTAAAGGTTTGTTGATTTTATTGATCCTTTCAAAATACTAACTTGTGGTTTTGTTAATTCCCTATTGCTTTCTTTTTCTCTATTTCTGCTCTGATCTTTTTTATTTCCTGTTTTCTGGTATCTTTGGGTTTGGCTTGCTCTTTTTTCTACTTCCTAAATCTAGTTCTAGAATCATACATACCTTTTTGAATTCTTTATTCTTTAGCGTCTTCCTATTTTTGTTGTTTTTACAGAAATATCTTAACCCTTTCATGGTACGTATAGCAACCATGAACTTTTTCAGCCTCTGGGTTTACTGGGAAGCTGCTGTACCACTGACAGTGTGTGCTGCCACAAGGCAGAGGCCTTTATGACTATTTGAAACTGAAAAAGTGGGCGAGTGCTGTAAATTTCTGTTTTTATAGGATATTGTATGAGGTGTCTGAATTTTTGGTAGGAAAAAGAAATTTTGAAAATTTTTGTTATTCATATGTACCAATAGACCCTGGTGGATACTCTGGGATATAATTAGTGGTACTTCATATGTGCCACTAAACACTTAGGGTAGGCCCATGGGAGGGGGACAAGAAGAAAAATCCACACTACCTACCAAAAATTCAGACACACTCAATGATTCAGGATGCTTCCATTAATGAAAACACATGGTATCAGCAAAAAATTCAAAGCAGAAAATAATTGGGTCACCAAAAGATTAAATTACAGGCATTTTATCACTACATATTTCAGTGTGAAACCTAAAAAATTTGTGTTTGGAAAAGTTGCTTAGGTAATTCTGATAAACACTATTTGTTAAGTACCATTGATAAGTATCATTTCAGAGGAAATCATAGGTAGAGTGATAGTTGCCAGGAACATAGTTGATAAATGAAAGAAAAACTTTATCAAATGTTTTAAAATTCAGCATTTAACAAGAATATTAACGTTATAGAATTACAGCTCATATTTGTGTTAAAATGAATTAAACAGCCATTTCAAGTTATTTAGTAAATGAAGCAGCAAGTGGTAGGGAGATTTGGGAAGGCAGCTTTTTAAAATATTGTTGGACTGTAAGCTAACAAAATGAAACAACACAAGTATAAGATTACAGATGAGAATGAACAATTTATGAGGAACAAATGGCTGGGTTTGCCAGAGCAAAATATACTCATTCTAGACTTAAAATGATGGCTTGATTCTAACGTGAATTAATGTGAAGATATATTTGCCTAGATACTTTTCGTTGGTGTTTCTTGAGCAAAGACAGAGAAACAGGTATGTATAACCAAAATAGTAATAATAATAATAATGGTAAATGAATGTTCTAGGACCAGGTTAAGAATTTCATTAAGGTTTTTATGGTATATAGAGATATGGAAACGTAGATATAAGATATCGAATGAGGATTAGTACTATATCAGAGGGAGAATTATTTGGGAAAAAGCAGAAAGCATTGTAACAGAATTACAGGAGTTGACTGTCAGGAGAAGTTTGCTTTTGAACAACTCTGATAGAATGAAAGAAAAATAACCAGAATAGAGCTGTGAATCTCCGCTCATTGATTTTTCTCTTCTTGTTCTGTGTTTTTTTCGTAATGAATAATAGCTAGAAATAAAGCTAGAGCCTGACTTATAGGACTGTTCCTTTATGACTTAGATCTCTCAGAAATTTGATTTGTTGTTGCTGTGTAGAATGGGAAAGAAGGAAAAGACTGTACACTTTTGTAATCTAGTTATGAGGAGATAAGGGCCTAAATGATCTCCTCCAAGCCTAGTGGTAACTCTGTTTCTCCTAAATATCTTTCTTAACTAATCATTCTTGTCACTCTCCTTACATTTCAGAATTAATTAATGACAGTAGAAACTATTCAAGGAAGAAGACGAATGAGTATAATAGAGGTAGAAAATGGCACGGTGATAGTAAGCATGCAAGAACTCATCCTGAAGAGAAATCTTATGAGTATAATAAAAATTGGAAAGTTCTCTGTCATAGTGAATACCTTGCTGAGCATCAGAAAACTCAAATTTTGGAGCAACCTTTTGAATATAATGAATGTGGGAAAGCTTTCTGTGATAATTCACTCTTTTTTATGAATAAGACAGCATACACTGGAGAGAAAACTTGTGAATATACTGAATATGGGAAAACCTTTGGTGATATGTCATCTCTCATTTTTAATGAGAAAATATCTCCAAGAGAGAATCACTGTGAATTTAACGAATGTAGAGAAAATTTCTTTGAGGAGTCCATTCTCTTTGAACATCGAAGTATTCACACTTTTAGCCAGAAGGCAAACTTAACTCAAATTCAGAAAGCCCACAAAAGAGACAATATGATTGAATATAATGGGTGTGGAAACTTTTTCAGTGAAAAGCTAATCCTTGATTTACATCAGAGAACACACAAAGGAGAAAAACCCTATGAATGTCGTAAATGTGGAAAAACCTTCAAGCAAAAGTCAGCCCTTAGAAGACATCAGAGAACAAACATAGAGGAAAAAACATTTGAATGTCATGAATGTAGGAAAAGTTTCAACAAGAATTCAGACCTCATTAAACATCAGAGAATTCACACAGGGGAGAAACCTTATGAATGTCATGAATGTGGGAAATCCTTCAGTGAAAAGTCAACCCTCACTCAACATCAGAGAACACACACAGGGGAGAAACCATATGAATGTCATGAGTGTGGGAAAGCCTTCTCATTTAAGTCAGTCCTTACAGTACATCAGAAGACACACACAGGGGAGAAGCCCTATGAATGCTGTGAATGTAGAAAGGCTTTTCTCAGAAAATCAGATCTCTTTAAACATCAAAGAACTCACACAGGGGAGAAACCTTATGAATGTAACGAATGTGGGAAATCCTTCTCTGAGAAGTCAACCCTCACCAAACATCTGAGAATGCACACAGGTGAGAAACCATATAAATGTATTGAATGTGGAAAATTTTTCTGCTATTACTCAGGTTTCACAGAGCATAAGAGAAGACACACAGGGGAGAAACCTTTTGGATGTAATGAATGTGGAAAAACCTTCCGTCAGAAGTCAGCTGTAATTGTTCATCAGAGAACTCATATAAGACAGAAGCCCTATGAATGTAATGAATGTGGAAAATCATTCTGTGTGAAGTCAAAACTCATTGTTCATCATAGAACACACACAGGAGAGAAGCCCTATGAATGTAATATTTGTGGAAAATCATTCTATATAAAGTCAAAACTCACTGTTCATCAGAGAACACACTTGGAAAGAAACCCTATGAATGTAGTAAAGGATATGAATCACAGGATGAAATAAAAACTTCGTAGAACAGAGCACACAAAGAGGGAGAAAAATCTATTAACTGTTTTGAGCAAGCCTTTGACCTACACTTCTCACAGTATGTCATACAACTTACACAGGGAAAGAAATCATATGAGGATATTGAATGTAGGAAAACTTTCTACTGGAATTCAAACTATACAGTATATTAGAAAGCTCAGAATGGAGAAAACCTATTGGTAATAAATGTAGGAAACATTTTGCACAAAGCTATACCTCACTAAACACCAGAGAAATCACAGGGTAGAAATCTTTGTCAACCCCAGTGGTAGAGAAGAGTTCATGCACAAACTATAGGAAAACATTTACTGTGAGCTGATAATCATTGGACATGTGTACTGACAAGTGGCATCTCAGTGGACATCAGATGGTTACTAGAGAAAATGCTTATAAATGTTTTAAATATGTGAAAACTTTAAGCAAATATCCAACTTTATAGTATGTCAGAGATACTTGAGTGTCTAGCAATTTAGAAAATGTGGAGAAAATTTTTCATTTAGAAATAGTATTCTACTTTGTTACAATCCAATTTGACCTATTGCCATACCAGCAGCTGTTCCTTCCGGGTGACGGCATTAGATGTAAATACACATCACACTGTAGCCAGTGATCATGAGCAATTGAAAGGCTTATTGTTCAGACATAGGCAAATTGAGGGGAGGCATTTAGCAAGGGGATCCACCAGCAAGAGGAGTCTGATGTCTGGATGGAGAGAAAGAGATCCTCGTCCTGGGACATACATAAGACAGGAACCTGCCATCAGGAGTTTTGAATAATGCAAGGGAGACTAATGTTGGATTGTCTGTGCTGGAAAGGTGGAATAAAGGGACAGGGTAAGTTGTCTTGCATGTGACTTGTTGGACATAGTAGAAGTGAGTAGGTCTGGAATGTAGCAGTTTCTCCCCTGGAAAGTGTTAGCAGTTTAGCTGAATGTCTTCTGTGAATCATTTATTGTACCCAATTCTTTTTTCCCACATGCTTAAACATATGTTTCATAGGTGATGTAGCTTTTTTTTTTTTTAAAAAAAATCACATTCATATACAGACATATTCACTGTTAAATATGGAACTTTAAAAAAACGCAAATAGATTCTGCTTCTGAATAGGTTAGTTTGTAGCAGGCCAATGCTGCCATTGAGAACAACTAGAAAGACACAGTAAATCACAAAAATCATCTATTTAAATGCAAGCATTTACTGCATGAGCAGAAGACTAGAGTAAAATTCTGAAGAATGGTGAATCACAGAAAGTACCTGGGCAATATATAGCTCTTTTCCTTGGGAGCATTTGGCATTTCTGCCTGTAGGATAGATCCTGAGTATTGAGCTTGTCCCAGGCAGAGGGTGATAGGTGGGGGACTAGAAAGCAGCAGGGCCTTTAGCAGTAAAAGGCTCCAGTGAAAAAAAGCTCTGAAACATTAAGGATGTAAAGCAGATAGCTAGTTTCCCAGGATAATTGCAGGATTCTAACACTGTGTAGAACAGGAGTCTGTAAAGGAGAACAACAAAACTAGATTTTTCTTCAGTTTTGCAGTGCTGAGAAAAATTAGAATTCAGGAACTACCACTAGAATGTGCCTTTGGTGAACGCTCAATGCTATCAGTCTAAGCCCCAGAAACAATGTTATAATGTCATGGATTGAATTGTGTCCACAAAATATATGTCAACCTGGCTAGGCCATGTTTCACAGTATTGTGTGGTTGTCTTCCGTTTTGTGGTCTGATGTAATTATCCTCAATTTTGTGATGTGTAAATCCTAACTTCTATGTGTTAATGAGGTAGGATCAGTATGGGGTGTATCTTGAGTCACAGCCTTACAAGAGGGTGTGGCTCAAGGGGTCCCTGTGCTGAGAACCTCCTAGACCCAGGGGGAAGTTGATGCCAAGACACATGGAGATCTACAAGGAACACTGGTCCCACAGATGTTGAGAGGAGACAAGGATCTTCCCCTAGAACTGACAGGGAAAGCCTTCTGCTAGAGCTGGTGCCCTGAATTAAGACTTTTAACCTCCTAAACTGTGAGAGAATAAATGTGTTTGTTAAAGCCATTTACTTTTGGTATTTCTGTTATAGCAGCACTAGATAACTAAAACACATGAAATAGGTAGATTGTGCCTTATCAAAATTTCAAACAATACCTAAGTAGTATTAAAATGCCTACCCAGAGTGGATTTTGGACCAGGATGCCCGTAAGGAAACAAAAAAAGTAGAAACTGCCAGAGAGATTTTTCAGAACTCTGGGAAACAGATGTTTACAGACACCAAATGAATGCTGAATCAAGAAAAAGGCAACTTCAAGGAAAGCTATGTGGCATTTTGTTACTGGATTGTGCCTCTTCCCTTCCCCAGCTCAGTGCCTGGATTGATGTGGCAGCCTGTGTTTCCAGCTTGGGATCCTGGTCTTGGGTTCCGAAGGAAGCAGACCACGACTTATGCATTTTTGTGTTTTTTCAAACTGCATGGCAAAGAATGCATCTCTTTCCTCTGTCTTGGAGGTAGCTCTGAGTGGAGGAGCAGCGAGCATAGACTAGACTGAAAGCCTGTAGCTGCCTGGGTCAAGAGATGGTGATTCAGTTACACAATAGAAACACTCTAGGATTAAGGTAAGGAGCTGGGAAGAAAGTATCATGGGGAACATGGGCATTGAGAAGTACCCATATATACTGGGGAATTTAGAAACCACCTACATGCCCAGGGCAAGATGCAAGCCCAGAAAAGACTTAAGAAAATTATAAGCTTTCACTTTGGGCTGATTTCTAGGCCCCGTGCAAGCCTGGCTAATGAATGAAGGAGTACCCCAGCACAGTCCAATCTGCCAAGATTGAAAGAGGTTTTTTTTTTTTACATTTTGTTTTTTTTTTAACTCCTGTCATCACTGTCAGAACAATAACTTTAGAACATAAGCTGAGGGAACAGAGACTTCAGTGAATACACGTCAAGTAATCCAGTCTTCACAAAAATACTTTAGAAAAGTCACTTAACCAGCAGACCCCTACAGTTAAAAAAAAAAATCCACAAACGCTGTGTCTTAGGTGGGGTTCTCTAGAGAAGCAAAACTAATGAAATATATGTATATACACTTCGTTGATTTTACTTCACTAGAGGACCCAGGAGGTAAACACACACACAGATATTTCTCTCAAGGAAATGGCTTATGCAGTTGTGGAGGCTGGCAAGCCCCAAATCTGTTGGTCAGGTGTCAGACTGGAGGCTTCTTATGTGGTTTCAGGGGCTGATGAATCCCAAATTGGCAGGTCAGAAAGCAGGCCGCTGGCTCAGGTCCCAGGAACCAGAGGTCAGATGACAACCGGATGCAGGATCCAGAGTGAGAGCTTTCCCAGAGCATCCATATATATGAGGTGCAGGCCACACCTCCCAAGGAAACTCGCCTGTCATCAGATACTTGAGTAAGGGTGTGACGAGTAACACTGTTGTAAGGATGTGATTCATGATAAACCCTGCACTAATCCTGCCTCGTTAACATATACAGATTAGGATTTAAAACGCATAAAATGGAGGATAATTATATAACGTCACATAATGAAGAATAATTACAATTATAGCCTAGCCAAGTTGATAACATTAACCATTACAATTCACCCTTTGTCAACCTGGCACCTGTACACAAATAATCTCTTTTAAAAACGATTATAAAGTATTTGTGCCTAACATAGAATATGTGTACAACCAAAACCTCACTAGCCCCGTTTACATCTTACATTTTATAAGTGATGGGATAAGGGAGGGAAAAAAATACCAAGTATATATGTCTACCTTCTTCCACCACCCATTCCATAATCTTTTTACCTTCAGCAAGTATGTCACTAGTACTATTAAGAGATGCCCTGAGGAATCTCCTGTATTCCAGACATACTCTTCTTTACCTCCACTGTGTAATATCAATCTAATTTTCCATTGGTAATCAGGATCAATCACACCAGCCAATATGGTAACTGCCTTCTTTGTTGATCCAGAGGCATGAGAAGCCCAAAGTGGCCAGGTGGCATTCTTAACTTTTTCAGTTCAATGGAATCAGTGTTGTGTCTCCAGGTGGAAGCATTCATCCCTTTGGAACGAAGACCTTTAGACCTGCAGAGCATAGGATCATGTGAACAGGAAACAAAAATTTTGGGAGAGGGTCACTGGGGGAATAATGGTGGTGCCACTCGCGTTTCTTCCCCTTGAATCTTGGCTTTGGGGGAAACAGCAGCATACATTGGATGCTGCTTTAGACCATATACAGCCTCCTGGAGAACATTGCTCCAACCCTGCAAAGTACTGACACCTAGTTGGCACCATAATTGGGTCTTTAGAAGGCCATTCCATTGTTCTATCAAGCCAGATGCTTCAGGATGATAGGGAACATGGTAGAACCAGTGAATTCCATGAGCATGGGCCCATTGCCACACTTCATTTACTGTGAAGTGAGTCCCATGATATACGGCAGTGCTGCGTGGGATACCATCATGGTGGATAAGGCATTCTGTTAGTTGCGTGGATGGTAGTTTTGGCAGAAGCAATGAGTGCAGGGAAGGCAAATCTATATCCAGAGTAGGTGTATATTCCAGTAAGAACAAAAGACTGCCCTTTCCATGATGGAAGGGGTCTAATATAATCAACTTGCCATCAGATTGCTCACTGATCACCTCAAGGGATGGTGCCATACTGGGGACACAATGTTGGTCTCTGCTGCTGGGAGATTGGGCACTCAGCAGTGGCTGTAGCCAAGTCAGCCTTGGTGAGTGGAAGTCCATGTTGCTGAGCCTGTGCATAACTTCCATTCCTGCCACCGTGGCCACTTTTTTCTTGAGCAAAATGGGCAGTGACAAGATTCCCTGGGGAAAGAGGATGACTTGTTTCCAAAGAACAAGTTATTCTACCCACTGGATTGTTAAAGTTTTCCTCTGCTGAGGTCACCGTCTGCTGAACATTCACATGAGACACAAATGTCTTTACTTCTTTGGTCCATTCAGAGAAGTCTAACAACATACCTCTTCCCCATACCTCCTTGTCAACAGTTTTCTAATCATGTTCTTTCCAAGTCCCTGGCCATCTAGCCAAACCATAGGCCACAACCTGTGAATCAGTATACAATTGCACATCTGGCTATTTCTCCTTCCAAGCAAAGTGAACCACCACGTGCGCTGCTCGAAGTTCTGTCCATTGGGAGTATTTCCCTTCACCACTGTCCTTCCGGGAGGTCTCAGAAAGGGGTTGCAGTGCTGCATATTGTGCAGAACCATCTGTAAACCTTGCACAAGTTTTCTCTTCCTTGGTCAATTGATCATCAGGAACTCCCCAAGAGGCCATAGGTGCAGGCTGGGAAGGGGAAGGTAATGTGACAAGAGTGGAGACAATGGGCATTTGGGCCACTTCCTCATGCAAATTACTTTTGCCTCCGGGTCCTGCTCAAGCCCAGTCTCATATGTACCACTTTCATTTAATAATGGAGTGCTCCTGTATATGTCTGACTTTATGACTCTGTGGGTAAGACAACACACAGTTAATCATGAGCAGCTCAGGCCACATGGTGACTTGGTGGCCATGGTTAAGCATTCAGTCTCTACTACGGCCCAGTAACAAGCTAAAAGCTATTTCTAAAAAAAGATAGTTATCTGCAGAGGATGGCAAGGCTTCACTCCAAAATTCTAAGGGTCTGTGCTGTGATTCACCAATAGGGGTCTGCCAAAGACTAGGACCAGCATCTCTGCCACTGATACTTCAAGCACTGTTGGATTAGTGGGATCATATGGCCTAAGTGGCAGCCTTCACGGCAGCCTGAACCTGTTACAGAGCCTTCTCTTGTTCTGGGCCCTACTGAAAACTAGTAGCTTTTCAAGGCACTTGATAAGCTGGAGTAGGACACCCAAATGAGGTATATGTAGCCTCAAAAATCCAAACAGGCCCACTAGGTGTGCCTCCTTTTTAGTTGGGGGAAGGCCCAGATGCAATAACTTATTCTTCACTTTAGAAGGACTATATCGACATGTCCCACACCACTTGACTCCTAGAAATTTCACTGAGGCTGAAGGCGTCTGAATTTTTTTTCTTGTTTTTTAATTGTATTTCAAGTGAAAGTTTACAATTCAAGTTAGTTTCTCATACAAAAATTTATACACACATTTTTATGTGACCCTAGTTGCTCTCCCTATACTGTGACAACACACTCCTCCCTTCCACCCTGGATTTCCCATGTCCATTCATCCAGCTCCTGACCTTCTCTGCCTTCTCATCTCGCCTCCAGACATGAGCTGCCCATTTAGTCTCATGTATCTATTTGAGCTAAGAAGCACACTCTTCATGAGTATCATTTTATGTCCCATAGTCCAGTCTAATCTTTGCCTGAAGAGTTGGCCTCAGAAATGGTTTTAGTTCTAGGTTGACAGAGAGTCCGGGGGCCATGCTTTCTGGGGTTCCTCCAGTCTCAGACCATTAAGTCTGGTCGCTTTACTAGAATTTGAGTTCTGCACCCCACTTTTCTCCCACTCCATCAGGGACTCTCTGTTGTGTTCCCTTAAGGGTGGTCATTGGTGGTAGCCGGGCACTATCTATTTCTTCTAGTCTCGGGCTGATGGAGTCTTTGATTTATGTGGCCCTTTCTGTTTCTTGGGCTAATATTTTCCTGTGTCTTTGGTATTCTTCATTCTTCTTTACTCCAGGTGCGTTGAGACCAATTGATGCATCTTAGATGGCCACTCACTAGCTTT